CTCGCCACGAAACGCCATGTTCAGGGCCTCCTCCTTACTGTTGGTCAGCACCGAGATCCAGCTGCAGGGGAACACATTGTTGGTGTTGTAAAAAAAAATTGCATTTTTTCAGGCTTAGTTATTTCACGTAAATATAAAACACCACCAGATATAAAGTAATCACAGGATTATTTAAGCAATTCACTTTATCGTTTGGTCTATAAAATGGCAGAATTATGAGAAATGGCGATCACAATTTCGTAAAACTCTAGAATCCCCTAAAATGTATTGTTTTGTCGGACCAGCTGGCCAACACCTAAATGCATTGTGATAACATGACATTAAACTGGAACATTTGGGATATATTTTTAAGATTACCTCAAAATGAATAGGTATATGATTATTAGCCAATTTAATTCCTGACAACTGGCTTATAATTTATTTTCTAGAAAAGAAATTAATCATAAGAAATCGAAATTGAGGTTATGAAAGCTAACACGTTATCACTTATAGGGCAGCAATCAGATTCAAAGGGCAAGTCATTTCCCCAATATGATAGATTCATAGACCGAAACTGCATTTAAGATGTGACATTATTACAATTACATGAATACATTTATTTTTCAGTTTAAATTGTCATTTTTTTTTTTTTCTTGAGTTCACAGATCTACTCACTTCAAAAGTTGAACATACACATGCACCTATAAATCATACACACTGTTAAAGAGAATCACAAACATAGGAACTGCCTTTCAAACACGGCTTACTGCAGCTCTGTACAACACACAATCTGCTTCTGCAGTATCCCCACTGAACTGGCCCTCACACACAAACCACACACACACACACACACTGGGCTGCATGAGCTTCACGTCAGCACTTCCTCTATCATTGTCACTCAACCCTTTCTTCAAAGGCAGAGGCCAGACAGCGAGTGGGCACATAAACCGAAGTGTTAGATTGTCTGTTTATATGTATGTGTGAGAAACAAGTTATTTAAATCCACAGCTGCGTAGGTGTACAGATGCTGCGCCAGAGCGTTTGTGTTTACTTATATGATGCATTATAATATGCTCCCAGCCTAATTGAGGGGGAGCATGATTGCACAAAGCAGCAGCCCTATGGAATACTAAATATTTAATGGAAAATCCTCTGAAGGTGCTGCTGCTGCAGTTGGAAGTGCGTGACGGAAGCAGCAGTGAAGAGCAGCTGAATCCCAGAGGATTACAAGTACATGGAGGTCCAGGGTTTAACCACAGCAAGGCAGCGTGCCACAATTCAAAGAGAGCTTCAAAAACAGATTTTAGACGAGTTCCGTATGATCGCCATAAGTTGCATTTTTTAAATAATTTAGTGTGTTTTCCCGTTTCAATTACTTTTTTGTATGTCCACAAATTTTATTTATATCAACAAACATAATACCATCCATCAATCTAAAATATTTCAATATTAGCCACATATTTTATTTAGCATTGCCCTTACTTAACATTTCATTTAGAAAAAGTGCACCCCCTGATTTACATTTTGTTTATTTATTTTTAATTTTCAGGGCAACCAGTGCCTAGGGTTTACATTTTTAAAGAATTTAAGAATTGACTAGATTACTTGTTTTGCTAACAAAGCTAGCTGTGTGGGTAGCTAACTACCATACCACCTTTTCATCAGCAAAAATCCGAAATATGTATCACTAATTGTTTTATATAACGTTGGTTGAATTCAAGAGGCAACCAGAACAACCACTTTTTGTTTACGTACAATATTTTTATTATATTTTATGCTAGCGTTTAAAAAAGAGTCTATGTGTAAATCAAAGTTGCTGTGGAATAATTTCATCATAAAAGTTGTTGACTTTCCGCGTGTGTGTCTGCGTGGGAAACAGCAGTATGAGGTTACAGAGACCTATAATACTGCAGACCACACATCCCACTGCTCTCCTCGCTGTGCCTCTGCCACCCACTCAACAGTCTCTCTTGTACTTCCTGTCTTTAAGAGAGCAGCCGCTAAACAACCCCTCCATTAATAAAAACTATTATCTTTGAGATCACAACACCAACTAATTTAGAAGCTTAGGGACGGATACAATTGAAAACCTTAAGAACATTTTTTTTTTCTTTGAGCAATATTACTCACATGACAAACTCTTGTTCATCCTCAGCTTGGAAATGATATGTCCGGTTATCTGTTGAATAAAGAAACAATGAGGTGAAGTAAAAACATTTCTTATCTTGCATTTTATAATACGAGAAGCAACTGACAACGTACAGTTATTCAAATTCATCACTTGTGTCCTAATTGTTGGACAAGCCTCAAAAGTAGTCAGTTATTCCTCCACAGATTAGCTTGATATTTAAAAAGGCAGATATTCTACAAACGCCTCATACTGATGTATATAGCTAACATTAAACACATTTAAAACCTACGAGAAATGAGATCAAAGCACTTCCTGTCCTCGGTGCTCGGCTTGACCTGGCAGGTGAGGAGGTTCAGTTTGACCGGCTGCCTGTTGGACTGAGGAGCAAAGACAGGTTTAGGGTCACAAAAAGCAGAAAGGAAATATAAAACCACATCTTATTAATATATTACACACACAGGGGTTTAAAAATAAAAAAACTTTGTGAGGTTCCATTTTTTAGAATGGCAGAAAATCTCAATTTAAAGAGGGCAAAGATGATTTTCGAATTGCTTTATTATTCGTTCCAGTGGTAAAAACTCTGAATATATGAAATGTACAATGATTTAAAACAGAAAGTAGCAACAAATACTCATATATGAGAAGATGCAACCACCAAATGGATGGTATTTTTATTATTATTTTCACTTACATGCTAAAAACACAAAGACTAAACAATGAAAATTATTTTAAAAAGAGGCTTATCAAGAAAACTGATTAAGGATGTACATGATTTATCAATATAATTTTAATTTCTTCTCTTCATTTATCTATTAATCAACACCATAGCTGTGTAATTTGCATATTAACAAGTTACAAAATGGTGTCACACTGAAACAGGTTGACCCCAGGACGCCATTGAGAATCTGGAGCGTCATGGCTGGGCTGTGTACTGTAATAATGGACCCACTTGGCACATGTATACTGAGCATTGTCCCCTGCCAGTGACAGGCAGCACGTGCTAATGAAATGCTAACAGGCTGTGATGAGCCGTGGAGCTCGGCTGGCCTGCTGGCAACCCGCCATGTCAACAAGAGTCACCTAGAGTTCAGCTGCCACAAGTTCTGACACCAGAAATAAGAACTTAAAGAGACTCCAGTCGGAAATAAATGTGTTATAAGATCTTATATATCTACCAAGAATAACACAACGCGAGTGATTGTACAACAGAACAATAGGAAGCCTTTCATGTCATATGTGACCACTTCCCAAGAGCTTGCAGCGAACACAAAGGATGTTATCATGGTTGAGGCAGCGGCTGTGGGAAAGTTGAAATCATGCTCACAAACTAACACTATTAAAACAGAAAGTGACCAATGAAAAATACTGAGGCTCACACACAGCAAGGGAGTTTCTGAATCTGAATACAGCACAGAGGATCTTCCTTAGGGCCTTCATATAGGTAAGGTTATTGAATAGTCTTTAACAAAGATGTGGTTATAAGGTGAATTATGTCATATTTTGGATGAATTGAATATTTTGTCTATTGTTTGTGTGCATTTATTCATACAAACCACTTTTTTCCAAAGATAAAGCAAATATAAAAAGCTTTCTGTACGTTTTTGGTCACCAATGATGTCCATCAAGTCATTTTAGTTTGAATGATGTTGATAGGCAGTGAGACTTGTGGTAGAGTGACATCACTACGCAATCATTGCTCTTGTATTGGCTAGAGCTCCATTTCTAAGACCAATCACAACCGTGCTAGCCAGCTAACCAATCTAAGCAGACTGGGCTCTGGTTTCAGAGAGAGGGTGAAAAGAGCAGCACAGGCAGTTTGAGAAAAATAAGGCACTTTTTAAACAATAAAGCTCGTAAACATTTCACAAAAGAGGCACAAAAAAAAAAATGAAATCTTAAAATGACCATAATAGGGTCCCTTTAACTTGTTGGTTTGTTGACATCAGGGAGATTCTTATCGGTCTTGATGCTTCAACATTTCTCAGTGTTTTTTAAACAATTCTTCAGATTCTTTATTTTTAAACATGACAGCTTTAAAGTGACAGTTAGGGTAACACAGCCAAAATGCACAGACTATACCTCGTTAATTCCAAAGTCCAATGAAACATTTCCTGTTTTTTTCTTTAAGTCCACAATTGGATCTGTCTTTGCCTGACGAGACATCTGCCACCGCTCTGCCACAATTAGCTAAACGTGGGGATTGTGCTAAGCTCCTCAGTCTTTATTTCAGACACAGTGGGAGGTTTTAAATCACAGCAAGTGTTACAGAGTTTATTCGGGTGTGATTTCAGTTTCTCTGGTTTCGCAACGAAGCAGCCACTGCAGCTGCACGGAGACGAGCCCTCAGACGTGCCAGCATACAGTACGCTCTCACTGCTCTCAGATGAGTCACCCAGGCGCAGCAGGCAGAGGGGGGAGGGGCGGCGAGAAGGGGGAGACGGGGTTGCCATGACAACCCATCTATGTCAATTCCACACTGCCAGCCTCCAGATTGAGAAAGCCCAACACTACCTCCCCGCATGATGTTCTCTCTTTGATCAGCAAAGTGTGATTGTGTGTGTGTATGTGTATGTGTGTGTGTGTGTGTGTGTGTGTGTGTGTGTGTGTGTGTGTGTGTGTGTGTGTGTGTGTGTGTGTGTGTGTGTGTGTGTGTGTGTGTGTGTGTGTGTGTGGTACTCACTGTGGCATGAGAGATGGTGAGCATGCCCCCCTTCACTGAGCACTGCCTCCTCTGCCAAACCTTCCTCAGTCTGTAAAAAAAGAGGGAGGGGGGGCTCATTAGGAAAGGACTTGTGTTCATGTGTTTCTTATCTGTGTGGACAAGTTTTGAAATTCTACATTTGAATGTTAATGTCTACAAGCTAATGTTTTGAATGCTACTTCCTCTTACTGTGTTGATGTATTAGTGTCTGTATTAGCGGCTTACCCATCACTCTTCTTCAGCAGGTAGCCTTTCTTCTCACTGCCAAACTCCTTGTTCCCCTGCAGCTGGTGCATGCTGTAGCCACCCTGCTTACTCTGCGAGTCCTGTGCGAATCCACACAAAATGTGCAAACACGCAAGGAATAACAACGTTAAACACAAGTTATATGCAGAGTATCTGCTGAAAGACATGCAGCACAGACACAAACACACTATACTTAAACGTCAAAACACAAGGTCTAATCTTAAACCAAAGAGCTAACAAGAAAATGACATCTATAAGGCATGCTCTGAAGCCTCTAAAAGGCCAAACCACTGAACAGACAAATGCCAGCATGCCCAACATGCACCAGAACTTACTCTTCTAGACTTGAATCCAGACAAGCAGAAGGCAGAAAGGGGGAGATAGAGGGGAGAGGTGTGAAAGATCCATCTCAGGTGCAAGGCGTTGAGTGTGAAAAAGTGTGCCGCCCACCCATGTACCATCAAATCCACAATATGCATGTTTTACTGTCGTGCCTACCGTGGGTGATATTAGCAAGAGAAGCTACAGGAAGTGAACATTAAATGTGAACGGCTGTCATGCAGAGAATGAATGTGTGAATCTACCACAGCAGGTTTTGTTTCTGATTAAATCCGGGGTTGGCAGGGTTTTAATGATGATGTGTTAAGTCGGGCAGTGAGGGGCTCTCCACTGAGCAGCCAGTGAGGCACAACACTGGTCACCAGCAAAGCCGACCACACACTGGCTACCAGCATGGTACAGCACTGGGCACTCGCTCTGTGCTGCAGGAGACAAGCTCCAAACCGTGGTGGTGGAAAATGTCTAACAAAAAATCCGTGTGGCACCTGGAGCAATATGGCTGTTTAAGTGAACCCCATTGCTGTGATTAGAATGATACGTCTCGGTTTGGGCCTTGTTAAGATTTCCACCTACTACAAGTTTACATTTGGCCAGTGTGTGTGTGTGTGTGTGTGTGTGTGTGTGTGTGTGTGTGTGTGTGTGTGTGTGTGTGTGTGTGTGTGTGTGTGTGTGTGTGTGTGTGTGTGTGTGTGTGAGCTGCCTACCTCCTTCTGGTCCAGCTGGAGGGAGGACTTGATCAGGTCGCGCAGGGCAGTCAGCTGCTTCTTCTCCTCATCCTGAGTTTGTTTGATCTGAGGAACACAAAAAGATGACTAGCTGTGTTTACAGGGGGATGTTTATTGTGCTGATAAAAGTGCCTCGTGTAAATACCAAGACTGAAATGAATTTATCTGCTACAAAATGAACTTATTTTGCTTTTTATTTCGTTTATATGGGAAGTTTCCAGGTGAGTCATGACAGTTGCTGCAGATGTGCTACTTCCCCTTTCGTGAGAACTGCAGGGCTTTAAAACGGCTGCTTCAGGAGAAAGCACAGCAGGACTTTATATAAGAAATGTTGGAGAGCAGTCAGTGTAGGCTCTACCATTCCAAACGTTTTTTATTATGTGTGTAAGATAGCCTTTTCTTTCCTGAAACCTACCGTAAAGCATATCAACAAGACTCTTTTATTTAGTCACTTTCTATAAGGGGTCATTATGCATACACTTCCTTTTTTAACCTCGGACACACAAAAAAGAAAACACACTTCAAGTACACTTTCTAGCTTAAGCAATAATGAATCTGATCAATAAGAGAGGCAAAATATGAAAAATAATTTACATTATAGAGATCAGCTGCCAGCTTCTCAATATACTGCTTCAGCTTATCCGCTGTCTTCAAGCCATCTTGGAAGAAACTGGAGAATAAAAAGGTAAATGTGAATCTCACTGACATCAACATGCACTGAATACATTTGAGAGTCGGTCATTTATGAGAATTACTACTTTGCAAATGTCAGGTGTTAAGACTTTTGGCCACTATAAAGGTCACACAGAGAGAGGGGGGGGGGGAGGGGGGATTGGTGCAGTTTATGTTTAATGTATAGCTGGGCTTGTTCTCGCCTTTGGGTCTTGGCACAGAAATGGTGGCTGTGCGTGTCCACAGCAGATTTGCAGAGGTGCTTAGCACATCCTGAAATCCATCACGGATCTGTCGGCGCGACACACCTCGATGCGGCGCTGTAGCCACAAATCACAGCTAATGACCTCCATCCCTCCATCCCCCTGCCCACCGCTCCTTTCCTCCGCTCATTACTTTCTCCGTCTCATCTCTCCTCTGCTTGTTTGCTTTTAATCTGAGCACTGAGGATCCCACTTGTGTCCTCCCACTCCATCCAGCTCCCACGTCAAGTACAAGGATGTTTAGTAAAAGTGTTTATGCTTCAGGTATAGCTTTTGGCCGTGACAACATTCTACCCACCACCACTGTTGTAAAGGTTTGGGAAATATGGACCCTAATAAGAATAATGTTCATTAAGAAGAGGAACATTTTCTCTAATAAGCAGAGAAAGTACTCTACTGGAAATGCCAGTACGGCTAACCGCCTTGCAACTTCCTGGTTAACCTTCTTCTATTGCTGCGCTTATGATGATCTCATTTCATTATTCTGGTGAGGAGTCAATGGCTCACTTTTCATTTAAGCCTCACAGACCGCCATTGCACAGTCCATTCATTATGAGGCAGTTGAGCATATCTAGGAAGCTGTTGTTTCATAATTAGAATTGAATTCTTGCATCCAAAAACCTACGTAATTCACTACATACCTAATTTGACATCATATAGTACTAATGTTGGGATGTTATTTAGAGAAGAACCAATGTATTTTCTGAAAGTGTCCGTGCTTCCTTGGGCCAATACTATTTTCAGTTAATTGCCGCCCTCAATTTGTTAAATGAAGAGCATCTGACGTGGAAAATAAACACAAACAGTTTTCTGGCTGTGAGCAGTCACTCCTCCCTGAGGTTCACATCGATTGCTTTTTTTGCCGCTAATCCGTCACCGCTGCTCCTTTTTTCAATCGATCAAGGCCCAGGTTGAATAGATTACATTGGGAAGTATATTGTTTTGTCCTGGTGTTATGACAGGACCTAGCAACTGCGCGAGAAGATTTGTCGTTCTGTCAAAAGGCGTCGTGAGCTGCGGTTCTGGCACAGAGAGCGCCCACTTATTTACCCACCAAACCCCACAGCTATCAGAACGTATCTGGATGATGACCTGTGCATATTTATGAGAGCTATATATACCCACGTGTGCACCCTCAAGGTCTGTGAATCATACAGGAGAAAAGGAAATTGACATCAAGAGCTGCAAAGACGGAGAGAGACACAACCTTTTTCTCTGACACATTTCTAAGGGGGTGTGATGCACACAACAGGGGAGACTCACAGATTCGGGTTCAGGGGGATTAAGGTGGTACTTACTTGCACTGAGCGTGGTAATACTTAATCAGGTTCTGGAGGAGGTCCACTCCTTTCTTGGTCTTGATCTCATTTACTTTGATCAGGTACTGCAAAGGAAAAGAGAAGTGCAGAGTTCAGTCAGGAGTTGAAATTCAGGGTGGGTTGAAATGATTTTTTTCTTGGGTTTAATGAGGCAGAGCTGTTACAGAGAATAAAGATGTTTCTGCCTTGCCATAGACACTGAAGAGTATGAACACTTTGCATTATGATAATCGCGTCTGAGTGCTTTGAGAAAGCTTTGATGTACGAGCCATGACTGCCTTGAAACCGGGAGTGGGGACTTAAGTGGTAGAACACACTTTCAGTACAGGAAAATACCGAACAGTCTGCCCTGATCTAAAAAAAGATTCAAAAAGGATGATATTTGCATCGTAAAAAGAGAGAAAAGCCTCCAGAGGAAGTGCTTTGTAGACGGCATGCTCAGTCTGAGTGTCTGAACATTCACAACAAATCTTCAGGCAAGGCTCCCACAAAACAAACAAATATATAATAATCTGAGTTTATCCTACAGCATGGAGATTTTTGAAAGAGTCAGACCACTTTTAGCTTCACAGCGAGATTTTATCATCCACACAAAAGCTTCCAACATACTGTTTCAATTTGCTCCTTACATCACGTGCGAGGATGCATGTGTACGCATGAGTGCATGTGTATGTGCGTATACGTGTGTATGCATGCATGTGCTGTCCCTTTGTCTGGCTGACAGCGCCCGTTGGATGGGAGATTATCCACATTTTGTCTGCGGCTTCAGTGTTTTCGGAGAGCGCTGCCGCAATGTGCGTGTTCGGACTCTTTTGTGCGAACGAGCAGCATCGCCGTGTCTGAGCAGGACATAATGCAGAGCGCTGAGCCCGGCCTTTCCGCACTCCTTCCCCATCAGCGGGGATGAAAAGGGCGAGAGAGGGAGAGCATCCAGTAATCTGGTGATTGAGTAACATAGAGAGGGAGAGAGCGTGAGAGTGCACGCACACACAGAGAAATGAGGTTAAGTGGGATGAACAGATTGTACCACTGACTGCAGCAACTCGCCCTCACACAGCAGCAACGCTCCGAGTTATTTTCTGATGACTGTTGATTTTAGGAAATGTCTTGATTATTCTGTCTCCTCTTTTTATTGGTTTACAGATAAATCACATAACTCTGTGGATGATGTAACACAAAAATGTTTCGCCTATGAAGTAGGTATTTAATGTGCAATTTGATCATTCCGGTATCAAAGTTGTTCATATTGTAAGGCTGTCATTTCCTATAATGGTAACGTCAAAAGAGAATAGAGAAATGCTTTAACAATTCTTGAATCGTCTTCAAAGAAATTGCTTTGAGACAAAATATCTGCAATTTACTGACATCAATGATTTTGACTGAGCAACATATACGGAAAGCTGGGACTTCATATTTTGAATACAAAGACTCAAATGGTGAATTGAAGTTATTGAAGTAACTGCTTCAGCTCGTATACCTTAGCAAAATAAAGTACATTATCTAGAAAATCAATAAAGTATATGCTAATGGTTAAAGTGCGCAGATATGATGAGGGTGTTTAGCAAACGCAGACAATAAAATCCTTGACTAATAAAAACCTTCTCACATCAAATGCCAAAAAAAATGGTTTAAGTACTAATTATGAATGGCTATATCATTCCAAATGTAACAAAATATATTAAAGAATAACAAGATAGCTATGGCGAAATCATTCTGATGGTTCCTTTATTACATTATATCATATGGCACAATAAGAAACCGCTATCTGAAGAGGTTGGTCAGATCAGAGGCTCAATAGCAATGATTCTTTAAATACAGTAGCAGCTGATGGGATATCTGGCTTTACATTTTTTTAACCTAAACACTGAACTGTACTTGGCTTGAAACACATCATATAGCCTATGTATAGAAATGATTCAATTCTGCTCGCATAAAAGAGCCATTTAAGGATTTTTTAAAACCGCAAAGTCGACTAACCACCATTTATAGAGAGGCTGGTTCAGTATCTAGTGGCCAAAACCACAAAGGCCTTTTGTCTGCTGCTTTCAGCCCGGAACAACCAACATGCACTGTTCACGGGACTCGTGCAGTCTTGTGAGGACAGCAAATCAGCATCATACTGTAAGTCAGCGCACAGACATGAAAAGTTCTGCTGGTCATTAGACATTTTAAATCAAATATGGACATGAGGCAGCCAATGAAAGAGGAAGCCAGGGCTAATACAACGTGGGAGCTACAACCCTGGCATCCAACATCAACTGGAGGCGGACTACAAAAATGTAAAATACACTGAGTGTTGAACAAATATTCTAAAATCATAAAGAGACAGAGAGTCAAAGGGGGACAGATATACAGCAAAGATACAGTGCGGGCTGAACAGCTGCATGCTAGCGTTAATGTAGTTTGAACATGATACGCATATTCTTAGATTCAGTTGGTCCAACATCCTAAAAACATGCTTCTAAAAACGTATGTGTCTATCTGTTTTTTAACAAATGTAGCCTTAATTAACAGGGGTTGAGTTTCAGCCCGCAGCACCTTAGTGAATCTATAGCATATTTACATCATCATTTACATAGCTATATCTACCAAATAGAAGAAATACAGTTGTGTTTGACCATGACAACCAAGAGAGCTTGCAATTGGCATCACGAAAAGGGATACAAATGATTTGGAGATAAGGGTTTCTTATTTGATGCCAGGGTTCATACTGTGACGATTCTAATTAACTTTAATACATTCCCGTTTAAGCCACGCTACTGATGTGGCTCTTTAGCGTTTAGATAACCATATACTGCAAAACTAATGAAATATCAGTAAACTGCAGCTTTACTTTGGGCTAATAATTAACCAGGCGAGTGAAAACATTATATCTGCTAAACATTAGCATGTTAGCATTGGCAGTGTGAGCATGCTAATGTTAGCACTTAGCTCTGTTAGCATGGCTGGAGTTATCTTTTCTTCTGTTGTTTTCTTATCCGTTTCACTTGTTTGATTTTTACCACTTTCTCGAAAACATTCAGATAAACTTGACATCCTTAAAGACCTGTTCTGCGGCAGACTACAAAGTGTGAACACAGGTGGGAAATATGAGCAAAAGGAACAAAAGTGTTTTACATTTTTGGTAAGGGCTCTATACAGTATACTGTGCAGGACACACGTACTGTTAGAGGAGGGCAGCTCAGCGTTAGAGGAGGGCAGCTCAGCATGGGAGGCCACAAAAGGACTGCAGCAAGTTCTGTTGTGAATAATTCACACAACCAGCAGCAGTGCACCGGCATCGGCCCATTATGTAATTTGAGTCAAAAATCCTAACAGGATAAAACAGTGAACAAGGCGTAGGCGTCACCACCCACGACTAGAGAGGATTTTTGGCAAAGGAAAGTGAGATATAACAGTTTGTTCTGAGTCTCTTGAGCACATAAAGAACTCACATTTGTTTTACACTTAATTCTAGCAGTCGGATTTCTTTAAGTGTTAGTCTTTGAGCGATAAAATGGAAGATAACTCAAACTGTGTCACAACACGCTGGGAAGCAAACAAGTCCACTGAACTTGAAGAACATCTGAAAACGCTTAAATTAATGTCCAACAGTTTTACTTTTTATTATTAGCTGCTCAAATATCAACTCATCACTGGCCATGAGATGTTTAATGTTATATTCAGTCGTGCGTTGCTCATTAATTAATGTATCTTTTGGGGCTGCTGTAATCCCTACATGTGGAGCTGCAGGAATTTTAAAGATATTCTCTAAATTATTCAAATTATCTTGAGAGAAAAAAAGTCAACTGGAGCTTAAGATTCCCTTTAAATGCAGCTGGTACCGAAGACTTTACATACATATACATATATGATTTTAATAAGTGGGTGCTCAAACCAAAAATAGCACTGCGTTGGCGGGTTCAAGTTGCTTCAAAGAAGGACGAACCACATTAAAGAAACGGTTGGATTTGGGTGTCATGAGCCATAATAAAACGGTTATATAATGTCCCCATTCAGTCCAAATAATGCATACAAATACAAAAATAATAATATGAAACGCTTCATTGTGAGGGTGAATTTGTGATTTACAAAGAGACAGCATCATAAAAGAGGATATTTGGACGGATCACAATGCTGTGCTGTGGGGATTTAACCTGTAATGTGGCCCTGGCTAACGGCTGGGTTCCTCTGATGTTTGATGCCGACCAAAAATGTATTTTAACGTAGCTTCATTTCACAACCTACCTCGCACATCTGCAGCTGGAAGAGACGCCGCTCCTTCTCCATCTCCTCGGCGATCTCAGCCCCGGTGATCTCAGTGCGGATCATGCCGTGTTGCTTGGCGTGCTCTCTCTTCTCCTTCTCGATCTTTGTACTGTCACACAGGAGAGGATAATGACTATTCTTGTATATTTTTACATCATCAGTGTAGGTTTGTGTATGCAATATCTTCTGGCGGACGCAAACAATACTGCTGCATTAGAAACCCTGTTTGATTCATTATTCATCTTTAATGAGCAAAAGTGCAACTTTAATTATCCACTTACAACTTGGCCTCGTAGTCTTTCCATGCCTTGTCGAAGGGCTTCTTAATGTCCTGCGGGAACAAAGGAGGACAAGCATCAGCAAACAGAGAGGTCACCGTGGGGACGGAGTTATTCGCAGAGTTGGATCACTACCAGAATTCCAACAAATGCCTCCCTCCGCTCATTTTATTTATGCTCTGGACGTCTGGCGAGCGACCGCACCCCTCCTTGTACCCCAAACAACAACGGTTCATGACCCAGTTACTCGCCACCCGCCTCAAGCAAAACTCAAAGACAGTGTTTACTCTCTGGGAGATTTACAGTGGGAGCTTTTAAACAGAGCACTCTCCCCCGTGTCCATGGCCTCTTCTCGCTTACACTCAACTTACAGTGGTTAAAAGAGAGATCTGCTGACGAGGCGTTTATTTTTTCCCTGCCTTTGCCGTGAGAGGAGCGGGGGAGGGAAGAAAAAAATGTCAAGAAGAGAAAATGTTTTACAGTAAACCTTACCCCTTTCACGCCTTTCAGATCGCCCTTCAGCAGCGAGTCCAGAGTGAAGATGACATTGTGGCTGAGGCTCTGGAGCTTTGAGTACACACACATTTATAATTACAGTTAGAATGTAGCTGTTGCCACAATAAATCACAGATAACATCACACAGGCTGGACTCATCTCACAAACAAGTATTGTCTGTGTTGCTCGATATAATTCATTACTCCAGAGATCCATTGTTTTGTTTATAAAAAAACATCAATGATCCACATGGTTACACTGGGTGACATGTCATTTGATTCATTGGTAATATAAAATATTGATTAGTGCAGCTTTATGGGTCTGAGTAACGTAGACACGGAATGGCAGTTGTTAAGTACAGAAAGGTGGATTGTTCAAATTGTTGTCTTTTGAGGAGAAAAATCAAGCCGGCCTTATCCTTTAACCCACAATGCATCATTGACACATTCTGCATACGGCTGACTGAAGTCATCGGCAACATAATGGCAAAAGTGCAAGTTAGTCTATTGAAGAATTAGCATGTTGCCAAGTACTTGGGTTGCTCAGCAGCTCTAACCATTAGGATCAGGAAGGTCATTTACAACAGTACGAAGCATTTAAGTCCCTGTTGTTGTTAGCCAAGTCCGCACAGACACACGGTCAAGGAAGTAAACAACCCCTAATGGGGGCTAATGTGCTTCTTAAGTGCCCGTCTTGCATATGTCCAACGTCAGGATCAATCCACTACTGGCCGGCTGCCGGTGTGCATCCTGGAAGCGGGTCTTTTAGTGCAGCATTATCAAAAAAAGGGGGGAATTTCCATTGATAAAGCCAAGGCCAAATGCATCTATAAAATCCTTACATTTAAGCCGATAACACATGTAGAACATCTAGGACAAGCACAATTCATCAATTCTCATTTGCAGCGTTCGCACATACCAGCAGCCTTAGGGGCGTAGATATTGAAGTGTAAAAAAGTCACTCAATAAAACACTCAAAATAGAAACTAGGGGAAAACTAAGAGTAGGGATCATTTCACTTTGCAGGTATGAAAGTAGCGCCAACTGGTGGATGATTTAGGAACGTTTAAGGACACACACAGTTGTTCCTGGTGCTGCCGAGTGTATTCATGGAGTCTAATCTCGCTGTCAGCCACACAGGAAGAGAGGGAGAGAGCGGCGACTGGCTCTTCTTCTAACAACAATCACTCACAGAGGATTCAAACAGGACACATTATTCAACAGAAACGTCAGGGGAAATCCACGGCAGGAAGATAAGAGCTGCGAGTGGGGGAAATAACACAAAGCTCGGGGGGTGGATACAGCCGCAGTCAGCTATACCGTCCAAACGAGATGACAGCACTCACTGTGTAGGCACATTTTACAGTTTTGAGTGTGGAGACTGATGAACCTTTATTCTGTGAGGAATCAGCATTAATAACCTCTTGACCTTCCCCACTACTAGCCTCATCTCTACTCTAATCCTAATCTTAACACCAAATCCTAAACCACTTAGAAGTAGAGACAGAAACTCTCTTCAGAAAGTATTCTTCTTTCTATCCATGTAAGGAGAAGCACACATAGAGCTCTCTGAAACATTTGACTGACATTACGTTGGACTCACCAGGTTCTTCAGCAGGGCAGACAGCTCCTTGGTGAGGGAGGAGAACTTGACAAAAGCCGTACCCAGGTCGGGGTTTTCCCGGCTGATGAAGTTGCTGCCAAATTTATCCAGAGCCTGAGTGTAGTTCTCTTCATTCTGGACGTGGTCTGTGTGGGAAACAGAGGAGAAGGTTCAACCACTGGTCAGTTAACTGCCCAGAAGTCTGGCTGATGATTAGCATGGTTAGCATGTGTACAGGGAAGGAAGTGGACGATAGCATTTGCATGTCTTGATGGTGGTTAGCTGCAGGTGCAACGCTCACAAAGGTAATGGTTGGCTGGGTGTCAAACCTCAGCACTTTGTATTACCAACCGAAATGTGTCCGCAGATCTGAATATTAAAAACTGTCAAGTACAAAAAGATGGCCGGTGTTCTTATCACATAGTGTCTGTTTTACATTTGAATACAGATAGTTTGCTGGTGAAGTTGACTCCGTGGGTCACAGCTCTTAAAAGAATATCCAAACGGTTTGATATATGTTACAACAAGAATATAAGTTAAAGACAATTGAAGAAAAAGGGCTAAGAACAAAAAAGGAAATCAGTGAAATGCCATTCTTTGTTCGAAAAAAGCAACACAGGAAAACACCTGGAGGAAAAAAGCTTATAAATCTTCTAACATCTACTTGTGATGTTCATAATAATGGCAGAAATATTCAACACATCCTTCCAATGGAAAGGTCCTTCATCAGTGCACCAACTTAAGTAATACAATAACACGTGACCTTCACCAGGAATTTCTGATCAGTGCTGCTCCACAGAGACTGCGTTTTATAAATGTTGACTATATTTAGTCGTGCTGATACGCAGGAAATGTCAGCATAACGAGACGTGTGGTTTTCTGTGAGCGGCAGCTGGAGGCATCAGTCAAACAGCAGCATCATCTGTCCTTGTGATGGATGGGGAGGGGCTGCAGGGGGAGTGATGTTCACGCGGTTGCCAAGTCTGAGGAAGAGTCCTGAGAGGGAGGTCAGGTGAGAGTAACACCCTGCAGAGCTCCTTCCTGCAGCAGCCATTTTGATCTTTTGGCATACTGAAATTCAAAAACCTAGTTTGTTTGGCATGTATGGGCCAAGAAAATACTGAATGTATATGTGAGGATTCAGTATTTGTGTGTGTGAATGTTATTCCTGGAATCAAACCAAATCTTTGACACTATTTATGGTCTGCTCCAGCCATTTAATGTGTTTACTAGCAGCAATTAGCTCTCTTTATAGTAGGTTTTATTAGCTGTGGTGGCTATGCTAGCTAGCTTTGGTAGATGGTGTTAGCATATACTTGCCCACACATTCCACGTGCCTTTATTTATATATATTTGTAATAGAAATCAATCATATTAAGTTCTATTTCTCATATATATGTGGTTGTTGTGTCTCCATATAAACCATAACTGATATTTTAAAGATTACAAAATGTTGTTTTTCTCAGATTCTAACCATTTCTTACATTTGCAGGTGGCAAAAACATCCCATTCTTATTTCTATTTTGAGATCATATACAGTTTTTTTTTGCTCAACACCACTAGGTTTAGCCAAAGCCACTAACTATTGAAGCAAGTGGCTTGAACTAAGACATTTGACTTGAGTTGTTCCACTTGTTATGAGGCTTTTAGAGTTTCTCATACAAAGAGTCACACTGGCAGTAAGGTAGTCTGTCTTTTCTCTGGAGGGCAACCACACTTTATTTGGTAGACACGCAGCTGAAACTGTCAATTTAAAGGGTGGAGACTGCTCTCAAAAGTATTCTGTGGAAAATTACTGAGGATCCGTGCCACAGCAACGAGCAAAACAAACTCAGGTGTCGGATTCTGGGACAGCCTGAAAACACAAAACGCCATCTGTTCCACAAAAGGCAATGTCCCGGACAACAACGAAAAAAGCATTTGTATTAAATATATCTTAGAGATCCTGGGTTATCCTCTGGGGGTTTTCTTTGGAAAGGGTTATGAGTACGTAACCAACCATCAGCTAAAGCATGCTAAGGCCTGGTATATTTAGAACAGACAGTCTCACCTTGTCCTGAATTGTAGATGGCCTTCACTGATTTCTTCACCTTCTGCAGAGATGTTCGATCCTGGTCCAACGCCTGAGAAAAAAAAGGAGAGGAAGCTTTTAAAAATCTATTCATCCTTGAAGAACATATTGAAGACATTAATATCAAAGGACGTCAGGGATAATGGGGATTTAATGCTACAGCAAACTTGAAGAATTTAGAGCATTAACACAATATTTGCTCAGTAATTCAAACCATTCATATTCAGTAAAGCTAAGAAACAGTGTTTGACCTGAATATGGCATTTTTATTATTTCAATTCTAACAGCTGGAGCAAAGCCTTTGTGCTCAAAGCTAAATAAATAAGCAGGTTCTCTAATTGTTTAGGATATTTATTAGGATAATTACTCATAATGAAACATATTAATGCTAGAAAAGTAAACACAGTCAGTGACCTATTGTTACTGTGAGTTATCCGTCTCACTTTATTGTAATTTTTTAGAGATTAATGTTCCGGGTTCAGCACCCAAAGCGCATAGGAGTTGAAATAATGACCAATATAAATAGAAAACCACTTCCAAAGACGCCATAGATCATAACACTGGTGGTAACTCATTTAGCGAAGATTCATATCTATATTTAGAGAAAATCCTGCAACGCTATTTAAGACAAAGCCATTCTAGGTTGACCCTTGAACTGATTTACCGCTCGCTTAAAACTGCTTCACGCACAAGGAAAATTCATCATCATAAACATCATCCACATAAAGAAAGACTCAGCATGTGCCCGTATTCGCTCAGCTTACTCCCTGCAAGAGAATAACTCAACTACATCTGAAGTTACAACACATTCAAACACATTATGATTTGTGCCCTGAAAGCTAAACACAGTACATTTCACTCGAGGAAGACATGTGACATTTTTAATTAGCAGATATTCTTACAATTGCATTTAGATTTTTAAGCCATTTTTTTTCTTTTTCAACCAGTCTTATAATAATCTTTCATTTTTATTCAAATACTGTTTTCTTCTCATAACCTCATCTGTAAGCATTTGTTAATGTTGTTCTAAGTTTGAGCTTTTTTGCTGTTTTTATTGCCTTTTTCAATGAATATATTTTACGATGATATTATTATATGTTAATAACAAAGGAATAATTTGCAATCTGCAGATATAATGCGCTCTTATTTGTGAATATGGTACATTGTTGTTGACACATTTATTAAAACATGTGGATAATAGACTGTCTGATACTTTCAATCACTTGATTACATGTTTGGCAATTGTTTAATTTAAACCACATTTAAACCTTAAAAAGTGTGATCAGATTAACTGCTATTTTTATTTTTTTATTTTCAGTAAAGGAAACAATTTGAACTCTTGGTAAGAAATGTTTACTTAATTTGACTTTGAGGACATTCTGAATGCATACATGAAAGTACATTATGCCTGCATGGATACAAAATCCCAATGCATTTGTCCACAAGCACGATATGTCCAATAAGTGATAAAACTCTATTATTCCACAACACCTTCCCTGTTATTCTCTTTACAGCAGTTATTTACCATCCCTTTTTCACAGAGTGTCATCTGTAACCACCGTGTGATGAAATAGAAGGAGGATGTTTCTTTGTTGGGATTATTGAAGTTAAATGCTACAGGACGCTCCGATCTGCCTCATGAATGGAGAATGCAGCAAAATTGAGGTCAAGCATTTATTCCTGCTGCGTGCTCAACAACCACTGCAACAACAAGGAAACCACCTGTCATACAAAACGCTGTCTGTCTGTGTGACGTTTATTATTATTTTATATTGAGCAGAGACCATCGGGAGATGCTTCAGAAACTCAGTAAAACACAAACGCACCGGAATGACTTTCCACTAAATGATTTAAAATGTGAGCTGGTATTGGTAGACATCACACTAATTGGTCCTGACAGTACAATGATTTCATATGCAGACCATCCTAACCAGAGGGAATGGAAGCATTACTGCCATGTTTGCTTGTAATGGATGATAAACACCAGCAAACACACCATTACATCAAGGTCAGGCGGTTAAGAACAAAAGCGCACACACTCAACAGAAGGCTAATTACTTTTTGCACATTAATTAAGGCTTCTCCAGTCTGCCCTGGACAGCTTTACATGGCTCTTCCCCAATTATGGCAGCAGTAGATTGCCCGCTGCAGGGCCCTTTCTGCCGGGGGCCAGACCCTTTGATCCCCCTGGATATGGGAACTCTGCTGCCCAACACAACCCCTCATTATTAAGTTGTGTTTGGCTAAACAGTGGCAAGGCAAGCTTGTGCATGTTTGTAGTACCATTATCTTGGCCAAAATGGGTTTTCTCTCAATAATCACTATAATTAAAATCTTCAAAGAGCATAAAAACATACTTAATAGATTACAAAGCTCAGGTTGCTCATCCCGAAAACATGGGAAGCGAAGTGGTTATCTTGGGTTTTCAAAGATCAAATACAATTCGAAGACGTCACCATGAGGTTCCTTGTAACTGTGAGAGATAGTTTCAATTATTAATAGACTAAAACGTGAATTATTTAAAGCAAATAAAACATAAATCCGCAGACTTCTTTTCATATAGCAGCGAATCCAGCTAAATGATTGGATACGTTCTGCATTAGATCCCCATAGCAGCCGACACATTTACTAACAAGCTGCGTCACTCGCTCTTTCCGCAACACACCAAACCCGCCCCCCCCCCCCCTCGTCACTCAGTAGTCAGTCTTCATTGAAACGTCTTCAAAGTCAATCTGTGATTATTCAGAGGCTGCAGTGCCGTGTGCTGATTAGGATGAAGAGCACGAACAAGAGGCTGAGCAGGCTGCCTGGCGTTGTGGTGCTCATGTTGAGAGCAGCTGGCACCGCCACCCAAGGGGTCACCCATAATCCACTCTGTCTGTTTTTGTAATTACATATTCAGCAGTAATATAACAGCCTTTACAGATTCACTTCTTTAGCTGTTTTGTTATTTGGATTTATGGTGAGATTGTCCATACGAATCTGATTAAAGAAATGCTTTGTGCTGTTTATGTTGTATACAAAGACAGAAGACTCATTCATACATTGGCCAGTACTCTTTAAATGGTAAATGATACCAATGTATCTTGAAGATAGGGTTTGTTAAAGCTCTTATCCTTCATATTTTTAGTGGGATAAAAAGAATCAATGAAATAGCACTGTCTTGGCACACATGCTTTACAAACCCCTTGGCAACAGGAAAGAATGCATCCAAACTCAGCTCTCCAAAAGGCAGACAACTATTGAATATATTTAAATTGTATCTGTCTGCCAGGAACCAATGGCAAGCTCCCAATCAACCCGGGGGGATTTGAAAGTGTGACAATGCCAAAACATCTGCGCTCGTTTGTCCAAGTGACGCATGCAAACGATTTATTTAGAGAAAAAAAACAAGGGATAAAATAAGTTTTGTTATTCCACTGAGAAATATCTATCATGAAGAACCATGTGTGCTCTGAAAGTCAACATGTCAGTGTCAGAATGCTTTTAAGTAGAAGTCTGTCAGAAACGGAGCCAAGGAGGTCAAGGGCCAGCTTATAGGAGGTGAAGGGCGGTGGTGGCGCATGGTTTCTCAGAAGGAACAGATTTTATACCCAGCGTGAGCTCCGAAAGTTTGTCAAATGTATGACGGTCAAATTCAGGAGGCAGGAAAAGCTCTTTAATACTGTTCAAACATGGTTTTTTTAAGTGAAATATTCACTTCTTAAAGCACACAAAGGCAATCATTAAAACATTGAGAGCTTTGATTAGGCTGGGTGGACTGATGCCTCAGAGTATTGAGTGCTGTTTTTTGGTATTGATTGTAAGGTCAATAAGGTTGACACCAAATACATAGATCCATCTGACATGAGATTGGATGATGTAAGATTATCAGTTGGTGGTTTAAAAAAGCAATCAAATAGTCAATAACTCAACATTATTGTTTTGTTCAACAGTATAAATAACCAAAAGTAAATGCATCACTTTATATTCTAAAGGCTGGAAAGCAGGGAAGTTTTTATAGTTCAGCTTTTTTTTTTTTAAATGACTGCTGCAATTGATGCAGGTTTAGATAAATATCAGTTGAAGAGCACTTGGCACCCACAAACCACTTCATCGTCAACAAATATCTTCAATGAAAGCAGACTGATTGAGGACAAAGAGTGGGGGGGAAATCACCATCCTTTTATGCAAAACCTGGCACATGATTGCTAAAGATGGGAAATATAACAAAACAGTATAGTCTTAGTCCATGAATCCAACAGAGATGTGCCAAAAACCGACAAACATTGGGAGCGTGCAGCTAACATCTTGGTGTTCTGGGCGTTTGGTCAGACAAACCAAGCCATTCCCAAGAGTCCGTTTGTTATTTCAAAGTTAAAATAGAAATAACCCTTGAAAGAACCCATATGACCAAAGGGGTTAATAGGGCTGACTTCCTGGTTCCCAAACAACCGCACCTAGTCATGCCGTTGAGGTTGAATCCTTGGGGGAGATTGGTGGTTGAAGTGACTGGGCATGACTGACTGGAGGCCGTCTCAGCTTCACGCTTCCTGCCCCGGGCCTTATCCTCACTCAGCAGCACTGCCGTTTCCCCTGCAGCCGTCCTTTGACAGGAAGCAGGAAGCGGCCAGGCTTGTCGGTGTCCTGTCCCGGGTCGTCAGCATTCCGTCTAATGACACTAACTGCTCTCCGCTGACAGCTGGAGAGTAAAACAAAAGACGCTTTCTGGGTGTTTTTCTTCGTCTGCTGATCCACTCTTAAGACTCCTGCTCTGTCCCTTTCATGGCCCGTTAGTCGTCTTTCTCATTTCCTTTCTGAACTCATCCTTCCCACTTCGGCATTTGGCATCGCACTGTCGCTGTGGTTGTACGGTAACCTTGGAGATGTGGTGTGGCCGTGTCACACGTCAGCTCAACATTCTTCATCGTGGAGATTTTGGGAAGCTCTGACTAACTCTGCTCTCTGTTTGTCAGCAGAACTGAACTATGCCACTGTGGCAGATTTTACTTTTCACCCAGATAAGATCAGAGACCCAAGCTCTCCGAATTGCTGTTAAGCTGATTAATTCCC